TCAAGAACTTGTCAAGGATCACTCAAATAATGTTCAAGAAAATTTGATCATTTTGTCATAATAAAACTATAATAATTTTAATGCTAACAGTAATGACATACAGTGCAGTGACATCGTACTTTCAAAACTAAAAAAACCTCAGTCCCGAACAAGCTCGTTAGCAAGACTTTTTAGCAGAATTTGACTACCACTTAGAGTATAAGCCCAGTAAGACAAATTTGGTGGCAAATGCACTCAGTTGGAAGGCCACAATAGTAGTCGTGAGCAAAGCATAAGGGGTGTTTTTGTTGCACATCAAGAAGAGGCTACCACATGATACTATGGTACAATCATTAATGAAGTACGTCAAGGATGGGAAAATCAGACGGCTTTGGATCCAATATGGTTTTCTCTACACCAAGGGGTTAAGGTTATATGTGTTGCAACATTAAAGACTATGCAAAAAGATCATAAAGAAGTGCCATGATTTGAGTTGGGCTGGACACCTTGGGATGCACCACACCTTGGCATTGGTAAAGGAAAACTACTATTGGTCACATAGAGAAGATGTGGAAAGTTGTGTATGCACTTGTCTAATATCACAACAAGACAAGATAGAGCAGAAGAAGGTTACAGGATTACTCAAGCCACTACCCATACCTAGTCACCCATGAGAGAGCGTATGAACTTCATCATGGGAGTGCCAAAGGTAGATGGATTTGGGTGCATCATAGTCATGGTAAACCGTTTCTCTAAATATGCCACTTTCATCCCTATTGTTCATGAATGTCCAACCGATGAAGCTACAGGACTATTCATGAGGTATGTAGTTAAATACTAGGGTGTTCCACTAACCATTGTAAGTGACAAGAATGGACAATTCATTGGGAGATTCTGGACCAAACTCTTCACAATGATGGGGTCCAAGTTGAAATTTTCCACAAGCTTTCACCTTCAAATAGATGGGCAACCTGAGAGCATAATGCCCTGTTAGAGATGTACTTACACCATTTTGGCAATTGGACAAAGCCCTTTCAAGTTGGATAGATGTGGCACAATTTTCCCACAACTTACAACTAAGTGAGGCAACTGGGTAAAGCCCTTTCGAGTTGGTGATAAGGCCATAGCGTCTCATGCTGAGTATCGTAGCAGTTAGCTACACTGGTCCAGTGCTTACAACCTACAAACATGCTCAAGCTTGGTAAGAACAACTAGACTTAGCTCAAGCCTGCTTACATAAAGCCACCTAAAAGATGAAAAGTGGGTTGATCAGTCTTGAAGAGATGTACATTTCGAGGCAGCCAACTTTGTGATGGTAAAACTTCACTTGGTGCCTAAAATAAAGGTCTCCATAAAGGACTAGTTTTACACTATGAGGGACTATATCAAATATAAAAGAAGGTCAAAGAAGTGGCATATTAGTTGGAGTTACTACCTAAATCGAAGGTACATCTAGTTTTCCACATTAGTATGTTGAAGCCTTACCATGCAGATGAACATAATCCTAGTAAAGGGTAAGCCATAGAGTGCCAATAGTAACCAAGGCAACATATGAGTGAAAAGTGGAACAAGTGTTGGCCTATAGAATGCTAAAGCAAAAGAATTATAGATCAAGGCACCAATATTTAGTGAAATGGAAAAGGCTACTAAAGAACAAGACAAGTTGGGAGTCAATGGAAGACCTATGGTAGTTCCAAGACAAGGTGGAGCTTTTCCACGAGGCAACGAGGTGTCATCGAATTGAATGGAGGGGAATGTCACAATCCAAGAGTTTAGACCAACCCAAGCCCAATAGAAAGGCTAAATGGCCCAAGCAAACCAACAAGCCAGACAAGCCAACAGACCAACAAGAAAGCCTAACCAGCACATAAGGGTACAAATGTCCACACACCCCTAAGAGTGTCTAATTTGACTTGAACTCTTAAGTTTGCTAATGTATATCTAAGTTTAGATGTAAATTTACTAGATTAGATTAAGATTTGAATTAAATTTGAATATTATCTGTTCAAATTAAATCCCTTCTCATTATCTTTTTATTTTATGTTATCTTATCCCTATCTTGTAATCTAATAAATAGGCCATTTCTTTTCATTTGTAAAGAGAAATAACAAAGCTTTTCATTTCTCTAAGTAGCTCTCTCCCTTCTTCCTTTCTTAGCTTTCGTTTTTTTTAATTTTAAGGATTACTTAAATTCTATTTTAAAAGTTTAAGGCCGTATGAGATTGGAGTTAAATTTTAACACGTGACAGAAGATTATAAGTAGAATGGTTTTTCTTAGTAGTTATTGATGTGTTGCAAATGTGGTATAATATATAGAGTTAGGCACCCGATTCAGGATCATTTTATTCCACTTTTAATCCAACGTGAAAAAAAAAAAAGAAGCAATGGAGGCCTTGGAAAAATAATGTAAATTCTCTGTGCCCATTTGCTACTTCTTTGTGTGTCTCAATTTTTAAATAAGGTCATGTGTCCTCTCATCAACAGTCATAACTGTTGGGTAAAAAATAAAATTTTATTTTAACGCTTAAAATATAAAAAAGAGAAATCATATATTCATATGCATTATTATTTTATTTTATGCTATTAAAATTTCTTTTCTTATTTTAAGATTTTTGAGCTTTTTTAACCACTCTTTTCTTAAAAAAAAATAAGAAAAATTTAAACTTAAATTGATTTTTGTTACTTTCAATTTTCACTGATCTGGATATTATTTTTGATACTTTGACTTCCCAGACTTCTGACTGTTCCTTCAAATTTTAATTAACGATCATTAGTGAACTAATAACACTTAAGCTCAAAAAAATTTAAATTCAGACGTTACTTAAATTGATTTAAGGGGTTATTAAAATTTAAACTTATATTGATTTGTTCAGAAAAAACTATTCAGGATCAACAAAAACTGGAAGTGCAAAAAATCAAATTTAAGCTTTTTTGGTTTAAAAAATGAGTTAAAAGGTTCAGAAATGTTAAAATAAAAAAAATTAATGCTATAGAATGAAAATAATAATGCATCTGATTGAGGTGGAAAGATTTTTCTGGAACTTCTTAACTCAATTATACATGCAAGAAAAAACAGAAAATGGGAAGAAATTGCAACAACTTTATGGAATTACGTCGTTAAATTTATTTATTTTTCATTTTTATCAATTATTAATTATTAATTAGTAAGATTTTTATTGGAACACCTAGCCACCGATTGTGGCGGCTGCGATTTGTCTCAAATGCCCGACTCTCTCGATTTTATCGAACGTAATCGCGCGACACTTGCGACGGCCTTTATTGAAGTTTCGTGGAAGTAGCCTCTTTGTCAGGACGCCAATAAGAAGAGAGTTGTATATAAAGAGTACGGTTTACCCCAGGAGCGTTGTATAGTCAGACGAGGAAGGGACGATTGCTTCGCATCTTCGACTGTGAAAACAAACAAAAGGATGGGGAAAGGAAAAGGCCTGCCATCAACGCCAGGGAAGCAACTGGTATAGATTCAGAAACTTCATTTGAAATGCTTTTTTATACTTTTTCATTTTGTTTTTTGGCCACGCATCTTCATTTACTATTTCTGTTGTTTATATTAGATAGGTTGTTTGAAGAATAGCGTCGAGCCTTACTGTTAGAAGGGTCCCTATTCATGAGTAGGATGGCAAAATAAACCCACTTCTGCCCAATTCCATCCAGATCCATCTTGATCGGATGCAGATTGGCTGGAGTTGAACTGTGAAAATCCAAGTAACTTGATCAGATATGATCTTGATCGAGCGAAAGGTTTCAAAAGAGTCGAGTCGGGTTTAGGTCTCGGGATGATCTGTTAGACCACATCCCATTGTCATCTCCATCATGAATGATTCCAAATAGAGAAGTAATCAAGTTGTATCCGATGAACATAGTGGAAAAGTTCGAGTTGACTTGAATGCAAAACTCAAGTCTTCAAATTCGATCAGCTTGCACTCGATCGAATTTCATTTTTCTGATACTACAATTAGCTCGAAAGATATTTCCCTATGAGCTCAACTTGATTGCAATCTATTTATGGAATAAAAAGAATTTGTATTACAAATATAATTGGTATCAACGACTTATGCTCGAGTCAAATATCAAAGCACTCGAACAAAATTCTATTGGTCAGCTGAGCTTGACCTTTTCTCGAAAATAAACAAGTTCAAGAATGTTGCCAATTGAACTCAAACAATTGGTAGTAATCATTACCTTTGTTGCTTTTCTTCTTTTGGTATTAAAAAAAGAAGGGAAAAAACATCACCAATATTAAGATAATTGGTTAGATGGATTGAATCGGTTACTTCAATCGTGAAACAAGTTCGGTTCTTTCATTAGATCACGTAAACGTAGTACAAGCTTTAAGTTTTTTCTTTTTAAAAAAAATTTCGGTATTAAACTAGTATTGACCTAGTTAAATGGGTTTTGACTCAATTCAAAAAAAAATTAAATTAAATGAAAATCACTTAAATTTTACTAATAGGTTGAACTCTTATCCAAAGAAAGAGATAAATCTTCATAATCGTTAAGTCGAATATTATATTTGTATGTATTCTTAAAATATTTATTATTTAAATGTATAATTATATATTATATAGAAAAATACATTTAAATAGAAAAATGTATGATTCAACTATTAATTTAAGATAATATCTTCACCAAGTTCCAACTGACTTTGGTAACCCATACTGTACTAGTCAAGAGTTTTACGGGACCTACGTGGCCACTAAACCGAAAGACAAATCCAAAAAAAACCCAACGCAGTAGTGGGTAGGTTTGTGGGCTTGAGTGGGTCACAACTCACAAACGACAAGACACCACTAATATTTTACATATCAATGTTCTTTTTCAATGGCAAACCAGATCAATAATTAACAGTACTACAATGGAAGCAAGTGGAGGAATTCACTAATCATTTTTAAAATTATATTTAAATAAAACAATATCATTTATTATTAAATGAAAAATCTAAATTCAAGGTAAAGATAGCGTGAATTTTAGACACTTCTAAAAGCAAGCATTTTCCGTTTTCTTTTAGACAATAAATAAGGTTTAAAAAGCAACGAATTAAGTCAATTTTAATATTTTGATCTGAATCTTAAAATGATAGGTGAGATTTATGTGGGTGAGAGAATTACATCTTGTCGTACAGTTCAAAAGCCTGGTAAAGGCTTCCCTAAATAAAAGAAAAAAAAAATATCAATCATTCACCAAAAGTGTAAGGATCGAGATTTAGCATACCAACTTGCCCACTTCAAAAGCTACACTAACAACAGCTATATACAGTAACTCTTTCGTGTATCATTTTATAAATTAGTTTAGTTTCATATAACATAAAACATTATTAAAAAATATTTAAATAATAAAATAATATAGACTCCAACTTAAACTTTAAAAAAGATTAATTTGAGTTAAGCTCAATTCATAGACACCTCTAATTGTAAGTAAACAATTAAGGCAAAGTTAATGAACTTATTATATATATATATATATATATTTGGATTTTAAAAAAAAAATTCGATCGTTATAGAGATTATATATAAATCAGTGAATCAAAATACTTGAATTTTTTTTAATTAGTAATAAGAGTGTTGTTTCTGTTTGCAGAAGTCCAAAGTTCCCAAAAAGAAGCATCGCTGGTCCTTGAAAAGGAAGTTTCAGGTATCGTTGCATTGCTTAATTTGCTTTCTCTTTGTCTAATGAATCTTGATCTGCTTTGGGTTCCGAGTATTGTACTAATTTAAACCATTTAACAATGAAAAGGAAAAGGAGAAGGAAACGAAACGGTTCCAAGCAGTGTTAGCCGAGAGGAGGGCAGAACTGAACCACATGGAACAGGCGGAACGGAAAGCGAAGACAAAGCTGAGAAAGCTTGCGCGAAAAAATTCAGAAACCAAGAAAGGCAATCGTATAGCAGCAATGAACATTGCTCGGATCGAGATTTATATCGCTGCTATGCTTGATATGTTGGATGGTAATTGATCTGACTCATACATTGAAAAGAGTTTCCATCATATTCTTTTAATTTTAATTTTTGTTATTTTATTTGCAGATTAAATTTTCTTAATGAATTACATTGCTGGGGTTTGCCCAGTAGCCGTCCACTGGGGACTCCCTCCCTCCGACTGATATCGATCCATCCTTGCTTGTATTTTAATCCTTTGCTTTAGCCTATTTCTTGCTTTGAATATCATCTTGTAACGGATTTTTATGTTATTTTCAGTAGTAGTACTGTTATTTTTATGTTATAATCCGCCAATTTTCAATTTTATTTTTTTATCAAACTTTAATTATATCATTATTAAATTAGTCCACCGTTTCGGCTTAGCACCATGCAGCAAGTTATAAAACAGAAGGTTTATGGGAAAAGGAAGGCTGCCATTCTCTATTACCATGTATTTATATGACAAATTATACAAGTGAGAAGTATTATAAATTCAAATACAGCTACTAAGATTACAAGAAGATAATTGTTATTCAAATATTACTACTTAATAGGGTTTGCATTCTCATTTCTCGAATTTCTTGAAACGTTGATCATTAGCTATTCCTTTATGATTTGAAATCTCGTTTCCCTCCAATATGTCCCTGAAAGATGGTGAAACCATTTGTGATACACCAATCTGGATAATAAAAATTGAAATTTGGCACGTAATAATGCTTTGTTTAATGCATCAGCTATCCCTTGAGTAGTAGACATACTAAACTTCGAGAAGACCTTGTCCGACTTTCTCTTTGATAGAAAATAGTCAAGAGCTAAGTTTCATCTTTGATAGAAATTAGAGGTTCTTTTTACATTTAGAAATTTTCAATCTCAATGCACTTACAGTTAAAATAATAAAAAATGACAAAAATAAAAGAAAACAAAATAATAAAAATGTAAACAGCAACACATGTGTCACAGAAGTTACACGCCAAGATTGTAACAAACTGCACGCCATGACTCTAACAAGCTACATGCCAAGACTCCGACAAGTTACACACCTAGACTGCTCGAAGCTACACGCCATGACTACAAGATGTTACACGCCATGACTCCAACAAACTACACACGCAAGACTGTTGGAAGCTACATGCCATGACTGCAACATGTTACATGCCGTGGTTGCAACAAGCTTCCATCTTCAACACGCCTCTTAGAAGCTTGAATTGCATATTCCCAATTTAGTTTTCAGATTTTCAAACTTGTCTTTATCAAGCCCTTTGGTGAAAATGTTTGCTAGCTGCTCTTCTATACTGCAATGAATAATAGATATCTCACCATTTTTAATTGCCTTCATAATAGAATGATATTTAATTTTGATGTGCTTAGTCCCCCTTATGATCTAGATTTTTTACTATCGAAATGACAGACTTGTTGTCAATCTAGAGTGTAGCAAGCTCATCACAGTTAAACTTCAAATTTTGAAGAATCTTTTACAAACAATTGCCTGGTTTATAGCTTAAGTAGTAGCAACATATTCTCCTTCGACAAATGATTGAGCTACAATGTCCTGATTTTTAACCAATTGTCAACTAGTTAACCAAAGGAGTTAGTTGGTTAAAGCTCAAACTTGAAGTACCTAAAAGCATCAAAGGTCAAAGTCAAAGTAATATTGACCGTTAAAGGGCGCTAAATGAAGAAATTTAAATTTGGAGATTTCGTAATTGATTGGAGCCTATTTTAAGTAATTAAGCATGAAAAGAGAGAGAGATATCTTAACCAGTTAGAAGGAGCATTAATTAGTTGAAAGAAGATTTGTGAAGAATGATGCTTGAAATAGAAAGTCTCTAATCAGTTAAAGCTACCGTTAACTAGTTAACATAGTGAAACAGTTTGTAAGTTAGAGGAGGCTTAATTAGTTAAAGCTTATCTTTAACTGGTTAATGAAGCACTTTTAGCAGATTTAAATTTAAGCACTGAAGGATAAAATAATCGTCAAAAACTGTTTGTAACGACTAGTTTTTGTCTCTAATGGCCAAATGTGATCTTTCAAGTATTTGAAGCCTCTCCAATGATAAAAAATGATAGAAAGAAGTTCCAAAGAATTTGAAAGAGCTAAAAAGAGCAAAAAACTTGTCTGGTACATTTTTTTTCCACTTTTATCCTTTGTAAAGTGTTTAAACCCAATCTTGTGCATCTTAGATCAGCTAGGTGATCAATTGTACTCTATTTTTTCTTTATTTCTTGATTAATTAGAATGTGCGAGGTACTATAATGGTTGTTGTAAGGGTTTAAGGCCTAGTTTAGAAGCTCACCTTGTAAAGGCTTGATGGAAGCTATTAATTCCATTGGTTAGAGTGAAATTGGATTGAAAATCCTTTATTGGAAAGATCAAAATAGTAGTTGTAGGTCAAGTAGATTGAACCAATATAGATATTGTATTTGTCTACTTCTTTTAACCTTTCTTTACTTAGTGCTCACTAACTTCAACAAAGTTTAAGCTATCCATCTTAAATCTTTCAAGCATTTTGCATCTTCCAAAGAATTCCTTCACAAATATTTTTAAGTGCTATTCCCCCCTAGCACTCCTTTTGAGATCAATAATTCCTTGGTTACTTAGAATGTGTAAGGCACTTTAAGGGATATATTAAGCTTAAGAAAGCTTAAAGATTGTTGTAAAGGTTTGGAGCTTGGGTTAGAAACTCACCTTTTTAAAGCTTGGTAAAAGTTATTAATTTCACTGATTTTAGTGAAGTTGGGTTGAAAATCTTTGATTGAGAAGATCAAAGTAGTAGATGTAAATCAAACGGACTGAAACACTATAAATATTATGTTTTGTCCACTTCTATTAATCCTCTTTTTACATGGTGTTTTCTCACCTTAATAAGTGTTTAAGCTTTCCATCTCATATCATCCAAAAGTTCTTAAACTCAAAGTATTGCATTTTAAATTTTTTTAAAAGCAGTATTCACCCTTGTCTAGCACCCCTTTTTGAAGCCAACATAGATACTACTCTTTTTATTGAGTTGTACTCTGCTGCCATTGTCTCTGTTTGTTTGACTAATGGGATTATCAAACTTTGTCTTATACCTTGTAATTATAAGTATTCATACTTTATTATTCGGTCACAATATGACATATTACTCTGTCTCTTTTAAAACTTGCCTATGTTTTGAATGTTGAACACAAGGTAGTGCATATGAACTCTAAAAACACACACACACATGGAGATGCATTTCATGGTTTAAATTCTATTATTTGGATTTTGCAAGTTATTGTGAGACTTGCTTAGGTCGAGTGGATTTTTCCCATTAGACCCTTGCTTCAGTCATGATACAAAAATTGGAATGTGACACTTTTATCATTAGCTAATCCTTTATCTAACTTAGATTTGAAATCTTGTTTCCCTTCAATATATAATTCATCAAATTTGAAAATCATTCTTATTGGTTTTTAATGTCAAAAAGTTTTAAAAAATCATGAAAAATAACTTAAAATGTATATAATAATAAGGATATAAGAGGTTTGAGCAATCCAAGAAAAGAAAGATGGATAAAAGGAAGACAAAGATAGTATAAATACTTCTTACATTCCAACCAAATAGAATATCCATTTTTCTTTTTTTGGATCATTTCATAATTGCGTCTATTTTTCTTTTTTTTTTTTAATTTACAACTCTTACTTTTTTTATATTTTATAGTAATTTTTAATAATTATTTTTACCTTATGATACCAAAATTACAGTTTATCAATGTTATAATTTTTTTAAAAAAATATCAAAACCATTATAAATTAAAATGTTTTCCTCAATCTCCATGTCGAGGCAAACATAAAGGTGTAATGGACCGGGCGCTTCCCTCTAATAGCCGAGTCAAAGCTTGACCCAATTTATCCATTTAATTAATAATAAAATATTGTTTTTATCTAACATTTATATTTTACATTTATTTTTAAAACTGAAATTAAGTAAAAGTATATATTATTTAATAATGTAATTAATTTAGTCGAGCTAAGTGAGCTGGAGCCTGGAATTTTCTGTCCAAATTCACATGCGTTGGGTTAAAAAGTAAAGATCAAATTCATTGCTATTTAATTCTTCAATAAAGAATGATGTGACATTTACCAACCTCAAAGTACCATCTTGCTATAGAAAAGTGGAAAAGCAACCCTCTAGTATCCGCTGAAGTTGGCCCACAACTCCACTTGAAATGAGCAAAAATACGTAAACCATACCATGCGGAACGTTCTGCTTGGTCGCTCGACCCTGGTGAGTATCGAACGAGAAGCGCTCGATAGTAGCGAGAGTCCCAGTTGTCGTTTGTTCAACAAACTCTTTGGAAAGCGTCCCACTAAAACGTCATCGCTCTCCTTGTTCATGACCATCACTTAGCAGATAGGGCTGGTAATAGAAATGAACTTCATGGAACAGTCGAAAATTTGCCCAATCAGGAAGGTGAATGGTCTTGCGGTAGAGTTCATTGCTGGAAGAAAACTTTGGGTGTGGACACAAGTCTCAATATCTGCGCACTCTGCTCCCAGACTATTCACTTCTCTGATTTGGGCGATTTTTATTGTTTGTGCTGTTCCATGTGGTTCATTTCTTCTGCCAGCTCTGCTCGAAACTCCTTTTCCTTCTCATGTTTGAATCAGAGTTCAAAACAATGCAGGGAAAAAATATCCTTTGTTTCTTCGACTTAAGATTTGGTATCAATCTTTCATTAGAGATGGCAAAAGAACTCCTACTTTGATTTAGTCCTGTTGTCTTGCCTTTTGCAACTTTTTCCATAAATCACTCGTTCGGTGCCATTCTTTGTTTGTTGTTCTCTTGTTGATGTCTCACATTATATTTTTATTTTTTTTACATTTCAAATTTATCTTTTATGAATTTTTAATTTCTTTTGCATTAAAAAATAAGATAGATAAATCACCTTACATCCTTAATTTTTTATTATAATTCAATTTTAATGCATTAATATTGAACACATAACCCTACGGTTACTTTATTATTTAAATTTCAGTTTATTCAATGATGTGATATGTATTTCATATCGGGTGTAGGAGAGGAAGCGATTTGTGATGAGAGTCCGATAGCCATGATGGAAGGTGCCGTAGTTGTGGAGAGGGTTATGTTAGGTCGAATGTTTGTCCAAAGATGACGAGTCAAGTTGGAGCGAGTCATCATTGGTAAAACTCGGGCGCCAACTAGGTCTGGAAATGCCACTCAACTCACCAGCTTCTCATTTCGAGTCTTTTCTGTTGCTTTGAATATTTGACTCAATAGGTCATTCCTATGTATTATTGTATTAAAAAAAGCAAGCAGGGATGGTTTAATCATTTCAAAAGCTCGATTCCTTCCGAGTGGTATGTAATCAAGAAAAGGTAGAGTTTTAGTTTGCGAGAAAAGGGGTCATAATTTGTGATTTATTGAAATCACTATTAAAGATAATTGATAATTTGCTTGTATATAGAAGTATTAATTTGATCATATGCCAAAACAAGTGATCAAGGATTCCGTTTTCTATGTTTATTTTTGCTGTGTTATTCAATTTGATTCTTAATTTTTTTAATTTCATTCTTTTCTTTGAGCACAATTGAAATTTAATAATTTAAATTTTATTTTTAAATTATCTTAATTTATTTAGAGATAAATTGAATGATTCATACATGAATTTTGAGTGGTCAAATTTGAGTTTAATTTATTTAGAGATAAAGATGAATCATTTAGATTTAATTGACCAAATCATATGTATTTATATTAAATTAGTTAATGAAATTAATAATTTTACAATTAATTCTATGAGTAAGATAAATAATGTTGTCAAATTCATATGGTGGTGCATGATTGATATTTAAAAAATTCTTAATCTACTAATTTTGAAAAAAATATAACATCTTATAATTGAATAAACTCTTTCTCTTTCTACAAAGATTTTTTAACCTCGTAGTATCTGTCCCTTATGGACATCCCTAGGATCAAATTCCAAGTCGTACGTTGCTGGAGATTTAAATCATATTAAGATGATTCATATGCAGCGAAATATTATTAAAATTATAATTTTTTAAATTATGGATTATTTTAATTGAAATTAATCTAAAAAAACGACAAGAGAAAGTTTGACATACTTGAAAGTTTGTTTTCTTTGGTGGAATCTACTTAGCTTTTTGTTTTAACTTTTATACACTAACTAAGACTTATAAAACCATAACAGTTTAGTTGTTCTGCCTATAATGGTGATCCACATAATGATTTGTCGAAATCTCTTTACTAAGAGTGTGTGAATCTCTAAGTCAAAGTTTGTGTTAGCAAACTCTTAACTTTGAGCTCTCTTTGTGTTTCTCTTTGTTTGGTTGTAATCCTATCTCAACATATGAGAAAATAAAAATAAAACTCTTCTATACATTCAAAAGGCAGCCAAAAGATTTTTTTATAGAGTGAATTGATCTAGTTTATACGTAACAAGGATTATAAAATGTCTTGTGCAAATTGGGACTTTATTTAATACTGCATCAAATTATATTTGATTTAGCTCAATACTTAATTTGATCAAGCTTGAATAAAATTAATTAGATCACATCCAATTGAACTCAAATTAATTTTGACAATTCACCTTATGTGTGTGACCCATTATGTTCCCAACATGTTGATAATAAATACAAATTAATTTAATTAAAAATTTATATTTATATTTATAAATCATGATCGACATCGAACAATACATCATGGTCACCCAAATGTTAGGAGAGTTAATATAATTTGACTAACCTTTCAATATACAATATCTCAGTATAATTCAATCCTTTCATTATATATCTCTGACTCAGTATCTACTTTTTAACTTATTCATATTAATCCTACAGCTTTTATATTGACCTATCAAAATTGCTTTCGTCAAGGACTTTTAATCAATATAAGCAAGAGCAAATGACATATGTTCCCTTCAAATCACTTAGGAAGATAAATCCTTTTTAGAGTACTCATTCATCTTCATATGTTTCATGTCATGCTCAAAAACACCTTTTTTAAACATTTGATCATCTCTAGACCCATAAAGATGAAATCAAAGTATGACAATTCATATACAAGATGATTTGATATGACAAGTCTAAAGATTACTTTTATGAGAGTATTTTCATAAGCATTTGAAAGAAATACCAAATAAAACTCCTATATAGAAGGTCATGTTTAGTGAACTGATTCTTTAACAAACACTCACATATTATCCCAAAATATCTCACAAATTTTAATATATGAGATCAATTACTTACTTTCAAACTAAAAAAACTTAACATGTATCAATCTTTAAACATTATCAATGTTCTTATTCTTAACAATACAATAACTAAAAACATATTTAGGAATAAAAATTTGATACATAACCTTTATAATTTCTTTACAAAGTTATTATATTCTAAAAACTTTATCTACATAAACTTCTCATAACTCTTTATAAATAAATTCATGAATAAAAAAATACTTTATATATCATTTTAAATATTCATAATGTGTTTAATATAAAATATGACTAATTAATATAATATTTTACAAGTACATAATCGATTAGCTTACAAAGCTTACACTACACTCCCTTTTTATTTCCATGTATTTGTGGACGTTGAGCTGTTGGGAATTCGATACTAAGGTATAATTTTCATTTCTTGTAATCTTCTTACCCACATTTCAATGCTCCTAAGAGTACCAGCATATCCAAAGAAACCAAAATCTCGACTCTTTGTCATGCTAGAAACATGTTGAAACTCAAAATTTAAGACTATCTTGAGTGCATCAAAGGAAGTGATCATATCCTCTATTTTGGTCCTAAAGAGCCCATGGTCTTCCACAATCTGATCCCAAACCGGAGCATTCTTCTTCATCATCTCAACCACATCAAACTTTTCCTTTTCATCAAACTGGACAAACTGTACATCGAAAACCTTGCACAACTCCGTCCAGAAGCTTTTCCATGTAAAAACATCGCCATTAGTGCAATTGAAGGCTTGATCCTTAGCCTTCTCCGAGACTGCTGCCCAGATGTGTTGCTCTGCAAGCACTCTTGCATCGGACACATCGCAGAAATGCTCCCATGTGTATCGATTGCCAGGGAATCGAAATGGCAAGCCTTGGTGCTTACAAATATTGGCATAAACTGCCAAACAAAGCAATGAATTGTAAACACTCCTCGAAGAAGCACCGATTATTATAGATGAACGATGGACAGAATATGAGAAAGATGGCGTATACGAAGCCAAAAGATCTTCCAGAGCATAATAGAAATTGGGGTAAGGTAGCCTTGGCATGTCCTCTTGGAATGGTGGGTCGCGAGGGACAAGCTGGTTTCCAAGTGAAGGATCAAGGATTGGACCCATGTACTGCTTGGTTCCTGTTTGCAAGGTAACACGACAGAGCCGGGAAGATGTACCTGATTTGAGAACATCAAGAACGTTTTTTAGCATAGCTGAATTGATAGAGACGTTTGCTTCTTCATTTTCACGAACTTGGATTGCGACCCAGAAGACGTGCGTTACTTCATTGGAGATTGGCGAGAGGTTTTTGATTGTGTCGTCGAGGTTTGAGGCGTCAAATGAGATGTAGCGGTCAACTAACGTTGAAGGAAACCAGCCTGGCTTAGATCTTCTGGCTGTGCCGTATACTTTCCACGGACCGCCAAGCGCTGTAGGCTTTTTCAGAGCCTCTGCCAAGCTCAAACCTGCCATACCTGTGACACCGACGACCAGGGCTACCGAAGGGGAGGGAATCTTCGCCATTATAGATGTTAAGATAAGCTGGATAGAAGCAAGATGGCACTGTAGGTAGAGATTAATTAGCTTTGCTAGGTGTAGCAGAAAAGTTGACGGATGGGTAGAATGAGTGGAAAAGAAGAAAGGAAATGAGTTCTTTTATGTGCTGGATACGACAGAAAATAGGGAAGGAAAGACAAGTAGAGAGATGGGTGTTTTTTTCTACCCAATTATAGATAAGGGGGGACCAAATCAATCGCTCTTTAAAAAAGAGCGTGAAAATCTTATCTTCAACTAAGCCATTGTTAAACCCATATCGATCTTAGCCCACCAAAACTAATTATCATTAGCACTGTAGCACGTGGAAAAGGCTCATGCACCTTATAAACTATATGATATATTTAAATATAATCCCTGAGACGCAATTATTAAGTGCCTGCAAGGATAAATTCTGATTGCAAAAGTTGTCCTCTTCCCCTGTGAGCTGCCGACCATCTTCAGAAATGAACAAGCAACAGCTATACCTTGTAACACAGACCCATTTCACACTCTCCGAAAGCCCATTCACGGCAGCACAACGCATTCTCAATGTAAAGAAAAACATAGAAACAAGAAGAAAACATTGAACATAAAGACTATGTTTGGCCTCGGATTTTTTTTTTATGTAAAAATTATTATAAAGTTTATTATAAAATATAATAATTTTTAAAATTAAATTAAAACTGTTTGGTAAATTTATTTTTATAAAATTTTTATAAACATATAATAATTTTTAAAATTAAATTAAAACTGTTTGATAAATTTATTTTTATAAAATTTTTATAAACATATAATAAATAACTTTATATCAATTACAAGTTCTTTTAGTTACAACAAAAAAGTTAATTTTGTTTTTTTATCCATTTAAAACGATTTTTTGGAAATATAATAGATGAGTAGTGATTTGGAGAGATAGAGATTGACATAAAACATCTAGCAGATAATTTTTTGGAGCAGACTGAACGCCAAAGTCAAAACGAAAAGCCCGAAAGTCATAATGAGCATGTTCATAATTTTAATATTTTTCTTGTTAGTTAAGAGTCTATATAGGAATTATAGGTATAATGAAATTTCTCTTTTATTTAATTACATGTACTAGGACTTTAGGATAGTCATATTCCAATTATGAATAGAATATTTATTTTATTTAAATCTCTTATTAATTACTTTAGTTGTACTAAATAATCAAAATTAGAATTTTATTAGGATTTGGGCATATAATGCTATAAATATACCCTTTAGGTTTAGTTTTTTGAATCATCAAATAACATTACTGAGTTCTTCTCTCAAACTTGAGTTTAAGTTTCAATATTTGAAACTTGGTTATTAACCTTAAAGACTCAGTCAACTGCTAGTCTTTTGTTTCCACCTTAACTCGTTGCATTAGTTGGTATCAAAGCAGGAAAAACTCACCCAATCTAATGACAAGTGACCCAATTATGGTAGGCAACGGTTCCCATGACAAAGATCAGGGAATTGAGACCTTTTCATCTACAATGCAAGATCAAGATGCGGCATTGAGGGCTTTGAAGCAATAAATGGATATCAGATTTTAGAGTTTAGAACAACATTTTGAAGAAATTGTAGATCAACTTGATGCTCTAGGCGTAGATGCTAACATAAACTGGAATGACGAAAAGCCATGTATTGTAGATGATGTAGCTCACGGATAGCCTATTGGCAGACTTGTTCCTACAAATAAGCTTAAACAATAGGTCTACATGGAAGATTCAGATGAAGAAGATGATTACTTTGAAGAACTTGTGAGGTACGCAAGATATAGAAGGAATAATTATTGTGGTCAAGATACCCACGATTTTAGATTAACGGTAGATATTCCTTACTTTAATGAGAGTTTGAATATTGAAGATTTTTTAGATGGGATAGTAAACATAGACAGCTTTTTCGAATATATGAAAATTTCAAAAAGAAAAAGTGCAAGACTTGTCCCTTATAGATTGAAAAGTGGGGTTTCTGCATGGTGAGAAAAGTTGCAATCCAAAAGGAATCATGAGGGGAAAGCACCAATCAGAACCTGGAGTAAGATGAAGCAGTTGTTACTGAAAGATTTTCTTCCTCTTAATTATAAGCAGATTTTGTTCCAATAGTACCAAAGGTGCCGTCAAGGTAAAAAAACTATCCATGAGTATATTGCAGAATTTATGAGACTAATAGAAAGGAATGACTTGGGGAGACCGAAGGGCAATAGATTGCTAGGTATTTGGAGGGGTTAAAGCTAACTATTAAAGACAAGATGGGGGTACAAGTATTATGAAATTTACCTGAAGTACAAAATGTTATTTTAAAGGCTAAATTGATGCTGGGAGAAAAGAATAGACTTGATTATTCTCGTAAGAGTTACAGCAGGGATAATGATAGAACCTCCAACGATAAGAATAATTCAGTTCATGATAGTTCTGCACGTAATAACTAGTACAAAGAAGAAAAGGCAATTGGAAAGCAAAAAGTGACATATGCAAAGGAAGGGCAGATAACTGCAAATCCTTATGTCAAACCAACCCCAAGAAAGTGTTTTAAATGTAATCAACCTGGTCACATATCTAGTGATTGTTCTTTTAAAAAAGTAGTTCATGTGGTGGAACAAGAAGAAGAAAATGATGAGATTTGCTGTGGTCCAAATGGGGAAGATGATGAGTATGAGGATTATGATGATGGCCAAAACTATGTGGTGAGAAGATTGATGTTGTCTTCAAAAAAAAAAATACTAAGCAACATCAATTATTTCGAACTAGGTGCATTATCACTAACCATTTTTTTTTTGATATGATTATTGATAGTAGTACTTGCGAGAATATTACTGGTAAGGATGCTATTGAAAGTTTGGGTCTTAAAGTTGAAAAACACTTAAATCCATATACTATTGGTTGGATTAAGGCAGCAAAGAAGATTTACGTAATAGAACGATGTAAGGTACCTTTTTCCATTGGTAAATACAAGGATGAGGTATTTTGATATTATGAATATGGATGCTTGTCACTTATTATTTGGTAGACCTTGGCAATTTGATGTTGTAGCACAACATGATGGAAGAAAAAATACCTACAAATTGGAGAAGGATGGTATAAAGTTTACTTTAGTACCAGTGAAGGAATTGCCAAAACTAAAACTTCTAAAATGGAGAGGCGGACGTTCTTTACACTTACTTATTCAGGGAATGAGATAGAGATTGCTTTCAAAGAGTCAAAAGAGGTACATGCTTTGGTTGTGAAACAGATGTTGTCAATTGAAGAGGATCAAAAAATAGTAGAGCATCCAGAAGTAATCAAACTATTATTAGAAGAATTCAATGAAGTGATGCCAAAAGATTTACTTGATGGTTAACCACCCGTGAGAGATATTCAGTACCATATTGATCTGATTCCTAGTGCTAGACACAATGACAATGCATATGTGGTGGATTTACTAGACACAATGGGAATTTTCAAAACATTTAATGTGACGGATATTTACCCATTTCATTCATCAGATGAACTTTTGTATCCAAATCTACAAGTTAACTCGAGGTCGAGTTTTTCTCAAATAGAGGGGATTGATGTAGAACGTCTCACAGATAATTTCTTAGAGTAAACTGAGGGTCAAAAGCCAAAACGAAAGCTCAAAAGTCATGAATAGATATGCTTATAATTTTAATATTTTCTTTATGAGTTAAAGTCTATATAAGAATTATAGGTATAATAAAATTTCTTATTTATTTAATTTACTTGTACTAAGACTTTAGGATAATTATATTCTAATTAAGAATATAATATTTATTTTATTTAAGTATCTTGTTAACTATTCTTGTTGTACAAGATAACTAAATGTAGTGTTTTATTAAAATTTCTTTTTATTTTTTTATAAAATGTTTTTAACATTTTATTTAGTCCAACCTCTTCTTGTAGATAAGTTAAAAAAAGAATAGTCGGTGCGGAACAAGCACTAAGTTTATTTTTAAATTATGAAATTTGAGTTGGAGTTTCTCTTACTTGAGAGGTGTCGTTACATCCAATAAAACAATAATTGTCCCCATTCTGACGTTGAGAATTTCATCCCAAGTGTCGCTTTGTTTCTCAGTGCGCTGCTTTTTCTTGGCAATGTTTATTACGTCTGTTACCCACTTGCCCTGTAGAGTAATGAGTTCTCCTAATTTTCATTACATGGTCGGCATCTGGCGATGATGAATGAAAATCGTTCGATTCCTGCTGATTCCAAGTCGCTTTGTCCACTACGAAACATTTAAGATCCATTAATAAATTAATTATTCCATTTCATACACTATCACTAAATAAGATATTATTATCTCATTTATAATTTAATTAAAATACTTAAAAAATTTTTAAAATATAAAGTAGATTCCACCTAAACAGATCCATAAGTTTTCTTTTTTCCAAATAAAACTTTTGTTTTACCACATTGTTCCTCAAGGATAACAATATTTACTTTTTAATTAAATTTTTATTAAAAAGATGATAAAACCTTTATATATTTTTTTAATGCAAACAGCAAGTAAAGATTCTTTACTAAGATGAAAAAATATCTGCCGGACCCTTAATAAATTTAATACATCTATAAAAAACTGAAAAACACGAAAATCAGAATTGCTCTTGACCAAAAAGTAGTGCAAATTTCATCAGAAAAATTAATGTAGCCGTTTGATACATAACCATTAATTATAATTTTTTTTAATTTAAAATAAAAATATAAAAATTTACCACCGTTAATTTTTATAGGAATAATGGTAAAACAAGAAATTTTATTTAAAAAAATTAAAATCTTAGAGTATTATGTGAAAAAATATCACATCACAAAAGATTTATATGAAATTTACTTAAAAATAAATAAATAAATAATAATAAACTTAAAAGTTATTATCCTATCCAATTTTCCCCATTTTTTTAGGTGAATAACATATATTCACTCTTCTTTTAATTAATTAAGTGGACCTTTAACAGATTAGACACCAACTTCCAGCTCTTTCCTGGGAAGTCGATTAGACACCAGATTTTTATTCTCCTTCTCTTTGGTTTTCCAAGAAAACAAGTCCAATAGTAATTTCTCACTTGAATCTTTGAATAAATAAAAAGATTGAAAAAAAAGGAACAAATCAACTAACTTATATCTATTTATTTTCAAGGGCTTCTAAGTTTTGTAGTTTATTAGAAGATATACACCATAA